TGGGCCAGAACCGTTTAGGGCTTTAAAGGCCAACGCCAGCACTTTGAATTGAGCCCGGTAGCATATCGGCAGCCAGTGGAGCTGGTTCAGCAGAGGAGTTGTATGCTCCCTGCGCCCCGCTCCTGTTAGAATCATGGCTGCCGCCCGTTGGACTAATTGGAGCTTCCGGAACCATCTTCAAAGGCAACCCCAAGTAGAGTACATTGCAGTAATCTATTCGGGATGTAACCAGAGCATGGACCACCGTGGCTAAGTCAGAATTCCCAAGGTATGGGTGCAACTGGCGCACAAGCTTTAACTGTGCAAAAGCTCCCCTGGCCACTGTTGAAACCTGGGGTTCAGGATCAGCGATGAGTTCAGGATCACTCCCAAACTGGAAACCTGCGCCTTCAGGGGGAGTGTAACCCTCTAACACAGGCTGTAACCCTATACCCTGTTCGGCCTTACGACTAACCAGGAGTACCTCTGTCTTGTCTGGATTCAATTTCAATTTGTTCGCCCATCCAGACCGTCACAGCAGCCAAGCACCGGTTCAGGACCTCGACAGCCTCCTTAGTAGCAGGTGGAAAGGAGTGACAGAGTTGGACATCATCTGCGTACAGATGACATCGCACTCCGAAACTCCGGATGATCTCGCCCAGCGGCTTCATGTAGATGTTAAACAACATGGGAGACAGTATTGAACCCTGAGGAACCCCACAAGACAAAGGTTGTGGGGTTGAACAGGAGTCTCCCAGTAACACCTTCTGAGACCGACCCTCGAGGAATGAGCGGAGCCACTGCAAAACAGTACCTCCAAGACCCATCCCCGCGAGGCGTCCCAGAAGGATACCGTGGTCGACGGTATCGAAGGCCGCTGAGAGGTCGAGCAGCACCAACAGGGACACACTCCCCCTGTCGAGCTCCCGACGCAGATCATCCACTAAGGCGACCAAGGCTGTCTCGGTACCATGCCCCGGCCTAAAGCCAGACTGTGCCGGATCCAGATAATCCGTGTCTACCAAGAATGCCTGGAGTTGTGAGGCCACCACACGTTCCATGACTGCCCAAGAAGGGGAGATTGGAAACAGGCCGATAGTTGACGAATTGAGTGGGGTCCAGTGATGGTTTCTTCAACAGCGGTTTTATCACAGCTTGCTTTAAGCTGGCTGGAATTTTGCCCTCCCGAAGGGAGGCATTAACCACCACCTTCACCCACTCGGCCAATCCCCCTCTGGCCTCCTTTTAGAAGCCAGGATGGGCAGGGGTCTAGGATGCATGTGGTAGCTCTCATTCCTCCGAGCACCTTGTCCACATCCTCGGATTGAACCAATTGAAATGAATCCATCAAAACCGGACAAGCAGATGCTCGAGTTACATCCTCAGGTACTGCCGTTAAAATGGTATCCAGTCCAGAGCGGATCAAAGCGACTTTGTCTGCGAAGAACCGAGCAAAAGCTTCGCAGCGAGCTGCCGAGTCATCAGGGCACCCATCCTGAATGGCGGGTTTTAATAGGCCTCTGACAACTCGGAACAGTTCAGCCGGACGGTTCTTTGCAGACGCAATAGTGGCCGCAAAGAAGGTTTTCTTTGCGGCTTTTATTGCCGCGGCATATGCCCTTAAAAAGGACACAAACCGTGTTCGATTTGGCTCGCTCGGATCCGAACGCCACACGCTCTCTAGTTCCCTCTTCTTTCGCTTCAACGCTGCCAGCTGCTCGGTGAACCAAGGAGCTGGTTTAGCTCGGCTACTTGAGAGGGGACGTTCTGGAGCGATCGTGTCTATTGCCCTAGTCATCTCCCCATTCCAGAGAGCGACCAGAGCATCAACAGGATCACCAACCGAAGTGGCGGGAAATTCCCCAAGAGCCATCAGGAATCCATCCGGATCCATAAGCCTCCTGGGGCGGACCAACTTAATGGGTCCTCCACCTCTGCGGAGGTTAGGGGGTGCAGTGAGTCTAAAGCTGACCAGGTGGTGGTCGGTCCATGGCAACGGAGAGATGGATAACTCCTCAACACCGCCACCTTCCTCCCATCCCTGACAGAAAACCAAGTCCAATGTATGTCCAGCACTGTGGGTGGGGCCAGATACTTGTTGGGACAGCCCCATGGTTGCCATTGTAGACATGAAGTCCTGAGCCGCTCCCGATGAGGCGGACTCGGCGTGGATATTGAAGTCCCCCAGCACAAGCAGCCGTTGGGACTCCAACACCAGGTCCGAGACCACCCCCGCTAGCTCAGTCAGGGAGACTGTAGTGCAGCGAGGTGGACGGTACACTAGCAGAATCCCTAGTCTGTCCCGGTCACCCACCCTCAGGTGGACGCATTCAAAGTTTGTTGACTGCGGGATGGGGGCCCTGGTCAGAAGAATGGAATCTCTATAGACCACTGCAACCCCGCCTCCCCGCCCTCCGGATCTCGGTTGGTGCTGCACAGAGAAACCTGGTGGGCAAAGCTGGGTTAAATTTACACCTCCCGCTTCGTCCAGCCAGGTCTCTGTGATGCACGCCAGATCTGCCCGTTCATCCAGGATTAAATCCTGGATGAAGGTTGTTTTGCCGTTGACAGATCTGGCGTTCAACAGCACCACTTTCAATTCGGAGGGACCGCCATCCTGGTTACACCAACTTACCATATCAGGAGACCGATTTGGAATTACTAATGTTGTTCCCCGTTCCCTAGGTCGAATTAAAGGCCTCCCTTTCCCGTATCTCCCCCTCCCCACCACGACTTCTATGGGGGCTCCCCTATTCTTGATCTGCATCTTCTCCTGCAGTGAGGGCATTGGTTTCCAGGTGGAAGGTGGTCCTGGTTGGGGTTGTCTTGATGTGCCTTCCTCTTGACACATTTCTCTCTTTCGTCCTCTATTTGTGCTTTTTTCAAATTCTACAGCACTGCTGGTCACAGCTGACCTCCAGCTGGAGCGTTCAAGGGCCAGGGCTTCCCAGTTCACAGTGTCTATGCCAGAGTTCTTAAGGTTGGCTTTGAGCCCATTTTTAAATCTCTTTTCCTGCCCAACAACATTCCGTTTTCTGTTCTTGATTTCAGAGTAGAGCAACTGCTTTGGGAGACGGTGGTTGGGCATCTAGACAATGTGGCCGGTCCAGCGGGGTTGATGGTGGAGGACCATCGCTTCAATGCTGATGGTCTTTGCTTCTTCCAGCACGCTGACGTTTGTCCGCTTATCTTCCCAAGAGATTTGCAGGATTTTTCAGAGGGAACGCTAATGGAATCGTTCCAGGAGTTGAATGTGATGTCTGTAGACAGTCCACGTCTCGCAGGCATATAGCAGGATTGGGAGGGCAATAGCTTTATAAACAAGCACCTTGGTATCCCTACGGATGTCCCGGTCCTCAAACACACCCTGCTTCATTCGTAAAAATGCTGCGCTCGCAGAGCTCAGGCGGTGTTGTATTTCAGTGTCAATGTTGACTTTTGTGGAGAGGTGGCTGCCAAGGTAGCGGAAATGGTCTAATGTTACACCATTAAGCTGTATTTCTGGCATTGGAGAGGGTTTGGCTGGTGACTGCTGAAGTCTTAACGTTCAGCTGGAGTCTCCTTTCCTGTCATTTGAACCCATTTCCCCATTGAGTCCTAGTCTCCAGGGCAAATATGAATGGTTCCAGATTTGGCTTGTTCCGAAGGTGACATGCTCTACACCTGAAGTAAAGGAGTGGATCACATCATCCATTTAGCACCTGGGATAGTCAACAATGCAAGAGGGTATTACTGAGATGAATGTCCAAATGTTCTACCTCCTGTCTCTCCTGAAAAAGGGCCTTTGGGAAATTGTCTGAGCCTGTTCTGAGAATGAGTTTGGACTGTAGAAAATTGATCTTTTTTATCTTTCTTATGACAAAGATGAGGTCTTGAGCATAGTGATGTGGGGATGAGTGGAACATCGGATAGATAGAAAAATTATTTATTTATTTATTTACGACATTTATATTCCTCCCTTCTCGCCCCAAAGGGGACTCAGAGCGGCTTACAAGATATATATATATACACACACACACACACACACACAATATATTATAATATTAGCATAGTACAAGATCAGTATTATATATTACTATATTGTACTATACCATTATATTGTAATATTATTAGTAATATTACATGTAATATAAATATATAATTATAATATCATTATTATTAGTATTATATTGCATTACATTACAATATTATAAATATTATATGTATATGCAATATATTACATTATATTATATTATTTATTTACAGTATTTGTATACCGCTTTTATCACCCCAAGGGGGACTCAAAGCGGTTTACACGTAAGTAATGGCAAAAATTCAATGCCAGTACAAACAATTACAATTATACACTACAATTAGACATAAATTAAATTAAAAATACATCCATGAGCAGTAAAACAATCATTAAAACAATAAAACAGTATCTTCCATCAAGTCGCCGTTCCAGTCATTTTCTTTCTGAAGTGCTGCATACATTTACTTCTACGGCCCAAAGGCCTGGTCCCAAAACCATGATTTTAATTTTTTTCTAAAAGCCAGGAGGGAGGGAGTGGATCTTACCTCATTTGGGAGTGTGTTCCATAGGCAGGGGGCCACAGCCGAGAAGGCCCTGTCTCTCGTCCCCGCCAGGCGCATCTGTTATTAGCATAGCACAGGAGAAAAGGTTTCATATTATTGATGTGAAAGTTTTGTAATCTCACCGTTCGGTTGAAGACTGCTGCTGAATCTTTTATTGCGTAGCCACCTTCCTCCTTTATTGCTGGCACTAGGAACCGTGTGTCTGGAAGAACCCAAAAAGGATGAGCATCACCTTTTCAAACCGTCTTAGACTCAACAAGGCATTTCCAGTAACCCCTGTGTTCATTTAACCTTGGTTCAAATGTCTGTTTTCCACCTAAACCATCTTTTTTGACGAGTCTTAACCATTTAATGAAGTAACAAGGTAACCAACCTAACCTTTTTGCCCAATCCGTGGGGCTTCAGAACGGAGCTGATATAACTTGAGGATGCCTTGTGTCTTGCAGGCGGAAGAGTGAAAACGTGGAAAAGGAGGTGGTTTATACTGACAGATAATTGCCTGTATTATTTTGAATACACAACAGTGAGTATGTCGTATTGCAAATCATGATTCCCTCTGCTCCTAGTTCCAAATAACTCAAAAGTGTATACTCAATGTTGTCTTTCATTGACCTCTAGGACAAGGAGCCCAGAGGGATTATACCCTTGGAAAACCTCAGCATACGAGAAGTGGAGGATCCGAGAAAACCAGTAAGGCCTTCTCCTTTGTTAAGCTCTGTCAAAAGGAAGGCAAGCTTCCCAAGTCCACAATAGTCTCATAGTAAGACAGTGTTTCTCAACCTGGGGGTCGGGAAACACAGAAAACACAGTATATTTATTTATTCTGTTGATCATGGGGGTTCTGTGTGGGGAAATTTGGCCCAATTCTATCATCAGTGGGGTTCAGAATGCTTTTTAATTGTAGGTGAACTATAAATCCCAGCAACTACAACTCCCAAATGTCAAATCTTTTCCCCCCAAACTCTACCAGTGTTCATATTTGATCATTATTTATTTTATTTTAATTTTTTTAATTTAACTTGTATACCGCTACTCCCAACTTAGCTAGGAGTGGTTTACAGAAGCAGATTAAAACAATACAATTAGCTTTAAATAACAATAACAAAATAATAGTGTGGCGAGAACAGGCATACTGGGTATTTGTGCCAAGTTTGGGCCAGATCCATCATTGTTTGAGTCTACAGTGCTCTCTGGATGTAGGTGAACTACAACTCCCAAACTCAAGGTCAATGCCCACTAAACCCTTCCAGTTTTTTTCTGTTGGTCATGGGAGTTCTGTGTGCCAAGTTTGGTTCAATTCCATCTTTGGTGGAGTTCAGAATGGTCTTTGATTGTAGGTGAGGTATACATCCCATCAACTACAACTACCAAATGACGACCCTACCAGTATTCAAATTTGGGTATTTATGCCAAATGTAGTCCAGTGAATGAAACTACATCCTGCATATCAGATATTTACATGACGACTCATAAAAGTAGCAAAATTACAGTTATGAAATAGCAATGAAAATAATTTCATGGTTGGGGGTCACCACAACATGAGGATCTGTATCAAGGGGTCACGGCATTAGGAAGGTTGAGAACCACTGTATTAATTAATTAATTAATTTCATATACTTTTATCCCACCCTTCTCCCCCCAAGAGGGATTCATGCCTTCAAAGAAGCCTTCTCCAACCTGATGGAGTTAGGAATATGGCAGAGATATTGTAAAACACCAGCATCTGGCAGCATTGAGTATTTAAAGAAATATTCAAAAAGTGAGGGGGATATTTATTTGAGGTTTTCTAAAAGCCCCCCTCCCCTTTCTGCTTAACAGTCTAAAAAAGCACTGAAATAGTAAAAAAAAAAAAAAAAAACCAATACAAATATGGAGTCAGGAACTCCTGATCAGTACAAGCTATATGGGACAAGAGAAATTACATTAAAATAACAGTTGCTTCAGGATAATCAAATTACAGCATATTTTCTCAAACATAAAATGCCTTGGTGTCTCAGTGGAATAAAGAAAAGGGGTCTCAAAATTCCCAACCAGTCATTCAATCCCTTCACAGGGCTTCTGGCTTTTTTGATCAGTGTATAGTCGAAGGCTTTTATGGCTGGAATCACTGAGTTGTTGTAGGTTTTTCGGGCTATGTGGCCATGTTCTAGAAGCATTCTCTCCTGACATTTTGCCTGCATCTATGGCAAGCATCCTCAGAGACCTCACAACCTCTGAGGATGCTTGCCATAGATGCAGGTGAAACGTCAGGAGGCTGTCCAAACCTTGAACCGATGCTTGGCTGCTGTGTCGGACTGGATGAGAGCTAACAAATTGAAACTGAATCCAGACAAGACAGAGGTCCTACTGGTCAGTCGTAAGGCCAAACAGGGCATAGGGTTACAGCCTGTGTTAGACGGGGTTACACTCCCCCTGAAGACGCAGGTTCGCAGCTTGGGAGTGATCCTGGATTCATCGCTGAGCTTGGAACCCCAGGTCTCAGCGGTGGCCGGGAGAGCTTTTGCACAATTAAAACTTGTGCACCAGTTGTGCCAGTACCTTGGGAAGTCAGATCTGGCCACAGTGGTCCATGCTCTTGTTACATCCCGAATAGATTACTGCAACGCACTCTACGTGGGGTTGCCTTTGAAGACTGTTCGGAAACTTCAATTAGTCCAGCGGGTGGCAGCCAGATTAGTCACCGGAGCATCATACAGGGAGCATACCACTCCTCTGTTATGTCAGCTCCACTGCCTGCCGATCCAGTTCCGAGCACAATTCAAAGTGCTGGTTTTTACCTACAAAACCCTATACGGCTCCGGCCCAGCATACCTGTCCGAACGCATCTCCCTCTACGTCCCACCTCGGAGTTTGAGATCTTCTGAGGAGGCCCTGCTCTCGACCCCACCTCTATCACAAGTGAGATTGGTGGGGACGAGGAGCAGGGCCCTCTCGGTGGTGGCCCCTCACCTGTGGAATTCACTCCCCGGGGAAATTAGGTCATCGACATCCCTCCTCTCTTTCAGAAGGAAATTAAAAACATGGTTATGGGACAAGGCTTTCGGGCAATCTGGTGGTTAGATAAGGACAATGATGACCAGAATCAAGAGTACTTGACAATGTGGAATGAATTTATGGACTATGAGATGGCGAACGCTGAGCATTAGATTGTTTTATAGATTGTTTTATTGATTTTAATGTATGGACTGACTGTCTTAATTGTTACAATTGCTGTTACATGTTTTATCCATTGTTATGTTTGTGTTGGCATCGAATTGTGCCTTTTGTAAGCCGCCCTGAGAAGGGTGGGGTAGAAATGCGCGAAATAAATAAATAAATAATGCTTCTAGAACATGGCCATGTAGCCCAAAAAAAACTACAACAACCTTTTTGATCAGCGTTGGCTGATCCTTAGTCGGAATTGATGCTTTCCCCTCGTTGTGGAATGTCCCTCGACTTATCCATGGGTTGTATCAAAATCCATAACGTTGATTGCAAAACCTGCCCTTGACTTATACACGAGCATACAGGCCGTCCTCTGTGCATGTGTGTGTGTATATATGTGTGTGTGCGTGCTTTGGATAGCATAGGGAAGGCTTAACACCTCTGTGGGATTTGTTTTGCTGTCTGTGTACCTGTTCAGAAGATTTCCCCTCACTTTCTGTTCATGTGATAATTGGATTTTCTAAAATTTGGCTTGTTGTGGAAACAAGGATTGATGATAAAGCTTCAGTAGAGACCCCTTTTCCCCATGATAAGCCTTTCAGGAGTGGGTTTCCCTTCTGAGGAAGGGATTTCTCTTCCTATTGTCTCACCTCTGTTCTTAACGCGGAGTTGGATGCAAATCGGATGTTTGTATCTTGGGGTCTGTGTGTACTAACTTGTGATATTGGTGCAAGACATCTTTTGCCCTGTCAATCAATACCAGCTTGTTCTCTTTTCCCCAGAATTGTTTTGAACTGTATAACCCCAGCCATAAAGGGCAAGTCATTAAAGCCTGCAAGACAGAAGCCGATGGCAGAGTGGTCGAAGGCAACCATGTGGTGTACAGGATATCTGCTCCCACTCCGGAAGAGAAGGAAGAGTGGATCAAATCCATCAAGTGAGTCCTTCTTTAAAGCAGAATTGTCAGGTGACCCACAAAACCTGTTGCATCCCCGATTAAAGGCTCCCAGCCTGGGCTCTCTGGCCACTTCCTGGCACTCCACTCCACATTTCCTTGTGTTTAGTGCACTGTGAATCAGCCGCAAACACAAGCTACGAGGGCCATCTGGCCTAATGACTATCTGTAGGAAGTCTGTACCCAATTAATAAAGAATTATTTTCCATTTCATCAGCAAAAGAGAAGGGAGCAATATTTTGATGGCGAATTGAAAATTGACTTCTGAAATATTTTTGAGTGTTCAAAAACATTGTAAATTTATTGAGTTCTTCTTTTCCACCAACAGATAGAAGGAATGCAAAATAAGAAAATAAGTACAGGCATCGGGTGGGAAAAGGGTCAAAGAGAAGACAGTTAGTGCCCAGGGATCATTATCTGGGGAGGCAAAGATCCATTGCACTTATGCAAGATGGAGCCCCCAGTGATGCAGTGGGTTAAAGCGCTGAGCTGCTAAACTTGCTGACTGAAAGGTCGCAGGTTCGAATCCGAGGAGCAGCATGAGCTCCCACTATTAGCCCCAGCTTCTGCCAACCTAGCAGTTCAAAAACATGCAAATGCGAGTAGAAATGCGGGAAGGTAACGGTGTTCCATGCAGTCACGCCAGCCACATGACCTTGGATGTGTCTATGGACAATGCTGGCTCTTTGGCTTAAAAATGGAGATGAGCACCAATCCCCAGAATCAAGCATGACTGGACAATGTCAGGGGAAAACCTTTACCTTTACTATGCAAGATGTGGAATACCTCTTTCCACAAAACCCCTGAAAACACATAGAGAGGTTATTCCATTGAATATCACTAAAATTCTGGCTTTAAAATGCCTGTACCTTATTTCACATTAGTTGGGAAGTGTAAATTATTGTGAATTTTATGAGGCCGGCCATAACCCATGGAGCCGTTTTTGTACTGGAAGGAAGAGTATTTCCAATCCCATCTGTGCCATCTGGTCTCTGGTTTTGATATCACATTATGAGCAGGGAACACCAACTCGTAACCAAGGGAAGAGTAATACTGAAGATAGTGTTGGATGAGTGGGCTTATTAACAAAAGACCCTCCTCATAAATGAACAGCAGAGTAACTTATCAGCAGCAATGTGACCCATCACCAGCAGCCAAAAGTGATAAAAAGAACAAAAACGGATCAATGTTATCTCTTCCACAGGAGGCTTTTCTGTATAGTAAAATAATATGGTTGTACTATTAACAAGAACCTAGTAGTTCGAAAACATGCAAACCCTCACAAATGAAGGCCTACCTCACACAGTGGCTTCTCTCACAGACTGAGGCCTACCTTACACTGTGAGGTCTTCTTGCATACTAAGACCTTTCTTCCGCTGAAGCAAACTAACACAGAGGCCTATTAAGCTACAGGCACAGTTTTTGATGAGTTGTTGCATCCATTTAACCCTTTCAATACTTGACTCACATTTTTGTAATTAAAAATACCTAGTTAGCCCCCGGTGGCACAGTGGGTTAAACTGCTGAGCTGCACAACTTGTTGGCCAAAATGTCACAGACTTGAATCCAGGGAGCAGCGTAAGCTTCCGCTGTCAGCCCCAGCTTCGGTCAACCTAGCAGTTTGAAAACATGCAAATATGATTAGATCAATAGGTACAGCTTCTGCGGGAATGTAACGGCGCTCCATTCAGTCATGACCTTGGAGGTGTCTACGGACAACGCCGGCTCTTCGGCTTAGAAATAGAGATGAGCACCACCCCTCAGAGTCGGACACGACTAGACTTAATGTCAGGGGAAAACTTTACTTTAACCTTACTGATCTAAATGGAGGATATCACAATATGATAAGGTCCGTAGAGTGCACTAACAAGTGTGCAAGCTGACAACTAATGGCTGTCTCTTTTCTTGTTAGGGCAAGCATCAGCAAGGACCCTTTTTATGACATGTTGGCGACCAGGAAGAGAAGAATTGCTAACAAAAAATAACGCTAATCCTGTGGACCCACCTAAGCCAAATTGCTAATGCATCATAAAGCCAAGGTAAAGTTCACAGAAAACAAGATTTGTATTAGAAGTGTTGCCACTTTCCTGCAGCTTATATGGAGTCTGTGAGCGTTAATTAATATTCCATGAGACGCTGGAAAAAGCTTCAAGTTCACGGACTGATCTATAGATGAACTTTACACTTTGGAAGGAAATGTGTGCTGTTTTTTGTGTTGTTGAACCTGGGTGTGCGATCTCTCCCTCCTGCCCTGTGGGGCCTTTGCCCAGGATTGCTGAGTCTGGCCTTCCCAACGAGCAGAGCGAGTCCCTTTTCCTTCCATGATTGCAGATGTCTTTTGCTCTCCTTTGCTAAAATTCTCCTTAGCCTTTGCAACACAGAAGCCTTTTGGGCCTGGATGGTTTTTGCATACAGCTCACATCCAGCCTGCAGCACTTCATTTAGAATCTGCTAGTCTGGCAGCTATATGATTAACAGACTTCCTTCTCATAAACATCTGGCCATCTACTGAAAGCATGAAGCTCCCGAAGACGAAAAAGGTCATAAACATGCATTTCGGAAGCATTGCTACGGCTCATCTTGAGTTCTTAGATGCCTTGGAAATGTGTTATTGCCCTTCTCCAGATGTTAACCTGAAATGTCTTCCAAATCTGAGTTATGTCAGGTGTCAGTCACTGTTTTATATTGTTTTGTGAAGACAACATTGCTTTAACGACCTTTTTCTGCCCATTTGTGCAGATGGCCACAGAGTTCTTTTTCGCAAACAACCAGCTTTAATTTTCTCCTCTTTTATTGCCATTTACAGGTTTAATTTTCTATCCCCTTGGGATCTTACCCTCCTTTCCCAACTGTAAATATTTAAATGTGTTGTAAGTCAGAAAGAGGAAGAATCCAGTATTTTGCTAATGAAGAGTGACCTGTTGTACATCTGAAAGGTGTAGGGTCTTTTTACAAGTGCTTTCCTTTTCTTTGATCCTTTTGCCTTGTGTGTTTTTGTGTGGCACTTTGCCTTCCCTGAACCCTCTCCTGTCAATTTCTGAGGCACATCCAAGATGTAGAGTCCGGTGGAGTAGAGAGAGCTAATCCATTTTGGCCAATAATCTACCTTTTTGCAATCGCAGATAGTGGTGTAGGATTTTACCCCACTACTCTGGTCATTCAAAAGTAACCTTCATGGAAAAAGTATTAGTGCTTTTGTCCCGATCTTTCCAAAACATGAGGCAAGGAATTATGTTAGACAAATGTGAATGTGGGAAGAATTACTGTTGCATTGCTGTATGGCCATGCTGTATGGCCATGCTGCATTGCTGTATGGCCATGTCCCAGAAGCATTCTCTCTTGACATTTTGCCCATATCAATGGCAGGCATCCTTGGAGGCAACCTCTGAGGATGCCTGCCATAAATGTGAGTGAAACGTCAGGAGGGAATGCTTCTGGAACATGGCCATAGTTGCTGTGAGTTTTTCGGCTGTATGGCCATGTCCCAGAAGGATTCTCTCCTGACAATTTGCCCACATCTATGACATGCATCTGAGGATACCTGCCATAGATGTGAGTGATACATCAAGAGAGAATGCTTCTGGAACATGGCCATAGTTGCTATGGGTTTTCCAGGCTGTATGGCCATGTCCCAGAAGCATTCTCTCCTGACATTTTGCTCACATTTGTGGCAGGCATTCTCAGAGGCAACGTTTGAGGATACCTGTCATAGATGTGATTGAAACATTAGGAGACAATGCTTCTGGAACATGGCCATAGTTGCTGTGAGTTTTCCAGGCTCTGTGACAATGTTCCAGAAGCATTCTCTCCTGACGTTTTGCCCACATCTATGGCAGATCCTCAGAGCCAACCTTTGAAGATGCCTGCCATAGATGTGGGTGAAACGTCAGGAGAGAATGCTTCTGTAACATGTCCAGAGAGCCCGGAAAACACACAACAACCCAGTGATTCCGGAAATGAAAGCCTTCGACAACACAATTACTGCTGCTTCTAACTCATCCACTGAAAAAGTCTCATCAGTGCAGAACATGCAAACTGAGTAAGTCTGGTGCTCAGAAACTTTTTGCTAAACAGAAGAGTAGCTCTTTGCCTAGCTGTATATAGAAAGTCTGCAGATGTTTGTATACGACAGTATTAGCAGGGATTCAAACCAGAGGAATGGTTTTTGATTGCTTAAGGTACTACCTTTATGAAGAGGTAAAATTCCCTACTCCGGGCTCCCCTTTGGTCACAGGGACTAGTTTGATTATTCTGGCCACCAATATGGCAGAGTTATTGGGGTCCTGCTGAAGGAGTTATACAGGAAGATATATCTACTTCTAGGATGCCCTACAATGAGGGCCAGATTCAGGAGATCAGTGGCTCTCAACTTGTGCGTCCCCAGGTGTTTTGGCCAACAACTCCCAGAAATCCCAGTTTACCAGCTGTTAAGCTTTCTGGGGGTTGAAGGCCAAAACATCTGGGGACCCACAGGTTGAGAACCACTCCAGTAGATAAAAAAGGCAGCCTAGGGCTTCCCTAAAGTGGAAAGAAGAGAGGGAGAGGACCTCTTCTGAATCCATAAAATATTTCCAGAGTGGGCTGTACTTCTCCAGAAGAGTCAGCCCGTCATTCCCTGTGATCTCTTCTCACAATGAGAGTAGAGCAGTTCTAGACCGGGCTGCCTTTTCTCCAACATTATTATTTAAACCTTGCAGACTCTGGGTTTTGAAGGGGCACGTTGTAAAGCACTTTGAGCTCAGCTGGCCTGGCAGGTGCTGAACCCGAGGAGAGAGGGAGGAAGAGATCAACGTGCTTGGCAATGTCACACCGATTTGTTTTTGGACGGCATGGAAGTGTGTGGTACAAAATAAAAAAACCTTTTGGAATACTTCATATTTTTAAAATAAATTCTTATTTTTGAAAAAACGTAGTACATACATAACTTTCTAATGCGGCAGTCAAAAGGAAAGGGTTGGATCTGGCGAGACCGTAACATTGCCTTGCTTTTAATATGACTGTCTACAAGACCAAGATCCAATGAACACACAGTACGATTCCCCCTTTCTTTCTGGTGGCTGGAGAAGGCCATGTCTCAGTGTTGGGTTCTCCCTCATCTGAGCTGGTGCAGCCAAAGGTGAGTGACAATGGGAGTTACATTTGGCCCTGTCCCCCATCTCTCTCCTAGTTGGACCTTGGCCCCAAGGCCAGCCCTGGCTATGGGTCAGGAAGCCTCTGCTCCCGACGTATGAAGGAGGCCACGGCTACCTTTGCCTTGGCCCTCTGAAGCCCAGATGCTGCAAACCTAACAAGTGGCTCACCACTTCTCTCTCTGTGTGTGTATTTTTCTTGGAGAATGTTTCTTATATTGACATTTAAATGTAAGGTATAATGTATATACTGTACATCTGTGTATTATTTGAACTTGGAAGATTGGTTAATCTTGTACGCTAACGAATTGCATGAAATAGTCTGTTATCTATGTTACACAAATATCTATGTGTGGAAGTCCTCTCGTGGGCTGCTTTACATCATCAGCAAGCATTGATTGAAGAAAAGACTTCACGGAGACTCCCTTCTCAGAAATAAAAGTATACATTCTACAAAAGTGCATTTTTATAAACACCACCAAAATGCTTGAAGAGTCTCAGGTGTCTTAGTATGTGTCTTGGGATAAAATCCTTTTGTGACTTTCACTGTAGGACTCTTATTTCCTGGAGCAGCCCATAATGTGAGAACATTGGGTCACGCATGTGCCTTCAAGTAGGTTCAGTCCTATGGTGACCCTCTCAGGGAATTTTCTTGGCAAGATTTGTTCAGAGGCCTTTTGTGTGTTACCGTAATTTTTGAGGACTCTCTTCTCCAAAATACTATTGTTCTGCCACAAGCTGAAGTGGTACAATACAATATTGAGTCTCCCTTCGGGGGGGAGAAGGGTGGGGTATAAATATAGGAAATAAATAAAATAAATATTTAAAATTAAGTACTGTTTTAAATGACATAAACTTCCCAGTCTTTCAATGTGAAGTGTGGGCCTGCTTTTGGTTGATGAGAGAGTCAAGTTAGTTAGGATGGTTGTTGTATGCCTTCACGTCATTTCAGACTTAAGGTAACACTAAGTCTAAAGTTTAGGGTGGGGGGCAAGTAAAAGGACCCTGGAGGGCTGCATCTGGCTCACAGACCTTAGTTTGGAGACACTTCCTGTAGCCCTTCAGCTTTATCAAATTCCAGTTCTCATCTAAAGGATACAAGCAGCAGGTTATCAACATACAGAAGGACATATTGCAGTGCATTCATTGTATATTAGGAAAAACCTTGAGGGCTTTGAAATCATACTCCCACAACCTAGAACCTGATTGACATGTGGTACAGTTGCATCCCTGAATGTCCTCACTGTACCAAAAATGTATGTTCCCCACAGACGGAAGTACACACACCATCATATAGCTATCTAAGAATCTAAATCAGTGGTTCCCAACCTGTGGTCCATGGACCACCAGTGGTCCCCAAGAACGAAAATATGGCCCGTGGCCTCACCATTACTAGTGCAGAGAGAACGGGGATATTGGGAGAGGAGACTGACTACCCACGAAATTTACTACTACATCAGCTCTAGATTATTAAATATGGTTTTCTGTGGGTGAGCAGATGGCAACTACTGGATGGCATATGTTCTGTATCAGAAACTAGAGCTGATGTGGTCTATCCAATGCAGTGTTCTGAATCAGCACCCCAAATAACCAAACCGGATCTAAAGTTGACCAAAAACTGATTTGTAATCCTTTTGATACTAATTGTTGGAGAGTGGTCCAAAAAAAGGTTGGGAACCACTGATCTAAATCCTTAATAAACTCATCAACATGTAAGATGTCAAAGTGTCGCTGCCAAGGTGATTGTATACAGAAATGAGCTCCAGTCAGGTAATCGAGGCAGAAAGGAAAGTGTACAGTACACACCGGGAAACCTTTTTTGACTTGCTGTATTTATATACTATATAAATTTTACATGCCATATTTACAAGTGGGGCAAGTGCTTTTATCTTTAAAAAAACAAAGATCAAACTTGAGACACCTCTGAACAACACAGCTTGTATAAACCAGACAGATTATTCAGATGAACTGTATTTAATACAGTTTTCCCCACTCCGTCTCCTGATGCAGGACCAGTGAATTAAGTGTATCACAGTTTGATAGCGTTTCATCATTTTTTTAAAAAAAAATTAAATCACAGTATGAATGTGTCTGAAACTAGAAACTTTGAAGGGACAAAAAAAAGGAACCAGAAAACTCAGATCTGTCAAGACAACCATCACATCACAATATTATAATAAAAACAAAATTTAAAAACAAGGGGAGAGGGAGAGCAGCTCTTTCTGGCCGGTGCCGGAGTGAGGCAGGGTCAGGCCTTTGGAGCTGCAGCAGCCGTCACCCAAAAGCCTGGGAATGGAAGGAGGGCACAGAGAGCGCAACGTAGCCAGGGACAGCTGTGGGAGGGAAGGAAGGAGCAAAGGAGGTGGAAAAACGTTCAATGGAGGGGAACACAGAAGGCCACAAAAAGGGGCAATGACTTGAAGAAAGAAAAACTCTTCCATGGTGAAGGGAAACCTGGCTGAAGAGTCAGGAAGAGCAGAGTGGGGAAGAAGTGCAATCGGGAGACCAGCATCTAGCCCTCTCCAGCCCAAGGCCTTTGGGGAAAGGCAAGAAGCCTCCCCATCCAAACCCTATTCAGCAGCTCCTTGGGACCTTTGAGGGCCTCCTAGGGAGGCGGCCCCATCCAGAGCAGCAGCAAAAAGGGGACTTTGAACACGTTCTGAGATACATTCAAAAACAAGAGTCCAAACAGCACGCTTTGCAAAATCCGAGACTGGAATCCAACGGGGGGAAAGAAAGAAACAAAGTTGAGTTTCTAGTTGCAGACATCACAGAAAACAGATGAAGCTCTTGCAAAAATCCTAAGTTGTGTGTGATTTTTTTAAAAATAATTCTTTAAATTAAATAAAGACGATTGCAGCTTGATAATTCTGTTGTTTCCTCGCTCCTTGCACCAGATATGTAGACGCGGAGCCATCGCACATGAAGAACACAATCAACCTGAGTCTGTAATGAAGCAGCATTTGAGATGTTCTGTCCCAGGGCATTAATCCTAACGGTTGCATTTACAGGGTAAAGTTTCACGGCATTCAGCCCCATTGTAGAAAGTTTCCATCTTCTTTTGTTTGTTTGCTTGTTTGTTTCCCCGGTGTTTAGTTTTTTTGTTTTTTTGGATTTCAGTTATTTTTAAAAAAAGTCTCAAAGTAAAAACTAAAAAAAAAAGTGGGGAGGGGGGTTCCATGGTAAAATCCTGTACAGTATTTCTGAAGCACCAATTATGAATTATAGAGTTAATCGCTTTGCGGTTTATAAATATCCTGCAAGCTGTGGAGGAATGGCTTCCAGCGGACACTCTGGATCTGAAAGGCAAAGGAGATAAGGTTATTTTTGGAGACTGACCTGATAGAAGTCTTATGGCTCATATGCCACAGTCTGCAACAGCAGCTGAGACCAGCTGATATTTGGGGCCCTTTCTCTCTGACCAGTCTCTATTCATCCTGGGCAAATCTGTCCTTGCATCCTGCAGTATTGTTTTAAACCCTCACATTCTGCATCAGATACGAAACAGCGAATTCTTATCCAAACTAAACTGAAATGAGATTATCAGCCATGTGCACTGGGCAATTTGGCAGAAACAAGCAGCAAAACCCAATATTTCTGGAAAGAAGCAGTTCTACAAGGGACGTTCATTAAAGATTTCCCCTGACCCACTTGTATTTATCACATGATGCTGAAACTGCACGTGTGTAATGATATAAGTCTCTATAAGTTACGTGCCAATTTGCAACTCAGAACTGATAACAGTCTTGATTTTACAGGTGCTGAAGTGGTGTGAGGGTTGATAATGGACCCAGTGGAATACAGAGCAGTCCTCACGTTCCTTCACTTGAAAGGCCGCACACCAAAGGAGACGTTTGATGAGATGAAAGAGGTTGATGGTGATGAGTCTCCATCATATGATGTAGTCTAGAACTGGCATTGTCAATTCCAATGTGGTCAGGCTTCGGTGCAAACAGCCCCAATTCCAGGGCGACTCACTCTGCTATTGATGAACACACCATCCAGCAAGTGGATGTCGCCATTTTGGAAAATCGCTGCGTAACCATTCACCACCTAACCCAAAATGTTAAGAATAGTGTGGGGTCCATGGAAAAAAAATCATCCAAGACCATCTTCACATGCATAAGGTATCCGCTCGCTGGATCCCCTGGCTGGTCACACCTTTCTAGAAGCAGGAATGAGTTGAATGCTCTCAGGCTCTGTTGACAATGATGTGCCATGGAAACCAGGAGGAGTTTTTCAACAGACGGATCACACAGGATGAAAACTGGCCCCATCACAATGATTTTGAGACTAAAGTCCAGTTGATTCAATGGAAGCATCCTGACTCACTGCCTCCAAAGAAGGCACGTGCCCAACTCTCGGCAGGCAAGGTCATGCTCACAGTATGTTGGGACCAGCACGGAGTAGGATGGATGAATTTCCTAGCAAAGGGCACCATGATCACTGGGGCATACTATACTTCACTGTTGTGGAAATTGCAGGAGGCCATCCAAACCAAGAGACAATGTGGCATGCTCACCAAAGGTGTCCGCCTTCTGCAAGACAGTGCACCACTTCACAGCTCACATGTTGCCCAAATGGAAGCATGCTCCTGTGCTTTTGAAATTCTACCCCATCCTTATTCACCCCATCTCACCCCATCGGACTTCCACGTCTTTCCAATAATGAAGTTATTTTTGAAGGGAAAGCATTTTTCAGATGACGAGACTCCGATTTCTAACGTCACAACATGGTTTTTGGAGCAACCTGTCGACTTCTACAAGTGGGATGTTTACAGTTGCTTAAAAAGATGAGAGAAGTGTGTCCCTAGGCCACCTAGGACTCATAACTGTGCCAAGTTTCATTGCTTTAAGTCCACAGGAAGTGGGTCAGGGGAAATTTTTAATGAACGCCCCTCGTATGTGGCAACCGTAATCCTGCAACATATCATCAGGATTAGATTTGGCTAGTTCCAGTTATCCCTACTTCCCAAAAATTTACAGCAAACCAACTGAAGATGTTTGGTAAACACTTCTCTAACTTCTCAAACATGAAGTTCTCATCCATCTCTTGTTCAAGCTGGTCAGCATACAAAAGAATTATGTAACCTTAAGCATCACTGCCAAAGTATTTTCTTCGCCAGTTCCCTTGCTATCTCTTTATCCCTTTGTTATTGTGTCTGTTACACCGTAAGCCTATGGGTGAGGCCCATCGTTTTTTGGTACATTGCCTACCAATGTTTTACTGACTTTAGAGAGTAACGGCAACAGGTTTTGCTGAGAATGATCCACGGGTGAATGAAGGATGCCCAGCCCTTGCTTGGAATGTGGAAGGCTGTGACTGACATTACAGACGCAACCCTGGCAGCAACACCCTGGGAACAAATTCTGGCGCAATCCTAAGGCAGGGACATAAATCTAATCCTGATACATATAATGAATCTGAAAGAGGGAGAATACAGAAAACCATTCCCAGG